AGAAAATGTGAACACTTATTTTTGTTTATATATTTCTAATATTCTGATAAAATAAGATCCTAGTGGTGATTGGGAAGTGGGCCATGATGACCCTCTGAGCACTGTCCAAAAAACGAAAGTTAAGACTGTACGTCATCAGGGCTCGCAAAGACTTTTCTGAAGGGAAAAAGAAGAAGAGTAAGACAGAAATAGTGATGAAGGACAGAATTAATTTTACAGGCCTGACAATGAAAGAGATTCTAATCCTAACAAAAGACAGAGAGTGATGGAAGGACAGCATCAAGGAATGGACAGGCCTGACCTAAGACAGAGAGAGTGATGGAAGAACAGCATCAAGGAATGGACAGGCCTGACCAATGACAGAGAGAGTGATGGAAGGACAGCATCAAGGAATGGACAGGCCTGCCCCCCAAACCTTGTCCCCCCTAGTCTCTACGTTAGATTCAACTCTGAGCTATCTTTACATTCTCTAGGGCAGTGTTTCCCAAACTGTGTTCCGCGGACACCTAGTCTTCTGCGAGGCCTCGAAAGGTGTTTCACGAACTACAGGAATAATTTACTAATAGGTCACCACATGAATCAATCTCTTTACCAAAAAACTAAGCAAAGTGTTCCGCTAAATACTCAGAATAGCCAAGTGTTCTGTTCAAGAAAAAGTTTGGGAAACATTCCTCTATATCTATCTTAGAGCAATACTTTCATAGTTACCAAAACGAGGGCATAGTCCGTCACATAAAAATTTCTCCTCCTGTAACAGGATCATCATTTAGTGAAGAAACAAACTTGGTTATCGTTGGCTAGGCAGCAAGTGCTTCCGGTTGTGCTTCTGTAAAACATCGTCTGTACAAGAGTCTCTGTGTGGGTCTTTATAAATGTTTCTATGTATGTTTCTATTGAACTGTGTTTTTAATAAGTATGTTTATATAGGCGTGTCTGTGTAATTGTGTCTTGATAAGTGTGTCTATACAGGTGTGTGCTTACACGTGTGTGTTTTATAAGTTTGTAAATATAAATCTGTGTGCTTAAGTGTGTTTTATAAGTGTGTCTTTAAAAGTGTGTCTTTAGAAATATGTCTAAATGTGTCTTTATAAGTGTTTGTTTACGATTGTATCTATATAAGAATGTATATATGTGTATGTGTCTGCAAAGGCATCATGAAAAGTTCAATCTTGTTTCTTTGTGCATATGTAACAACAAAACATGTGATGCGTTCATTCCTTCAATCGTTACTAGCTGTTGATATTACGTGACATTTCCCTGATCTTTTTATTAAGTCAGTTACTTAGACATTATACTCGTATGCAATGTGCATTTCAAGGTCTAAGTTCTATAATAACCTAATTCTACTTGGGGGCATAGTAAGTAAAGCGAGTTTCTCGTCTCGTGTGTAAAGACAAGAAAGTGATATTGTGAAGTTGTATTCTTCCTATCATGTTACACACATTGTGTGTTTAGAAGCGATACAGTGTTTCTGATGGTTTAAATGCTAAGCGTGCCTCACTTTCAGAATGAGGCTCGTTATCGCGCACACTGATTCAACACAAAGTAAATGACTAGTCTATATTATCTAACCATCCGAAGTTGAACATTGAAAACATTTAGTGTCTAGAGATTAATAATTTGCATTCACTCAGTGCAGTTAGGTCATGTTGAACCTCTGTGTACTTCTTCCGTTTAGGAGGTCAAATTACATTGAAACAAATAAATGCAGCGTTATAGAGTTACAAAATACTGTAGTAAATCTAAGGGCAAGCACTCAATGAAAAGAGTTAATAATAGACAATGTATTTAGATCTATTTACAGTTAAATACAGAGAGACATGGATGGGCTTCAGCTATCAAGTCACGGAAGTCCTCAGTTCAAGTCTAAATAAATGCAGCGTTATGGATTTACAAAATACTGTAGTAAACCTAAGGACAAACACTCGATGAAAAGAGTTAATAATAGACGATGTATTTAGATCTATTTACAGTTAAATACAGAGAGACATGGATGGGCTTCAGCTATCAAGTCACGGAAGTCCTCAGTTCAAGTCTACCTAAACATTAGTACAGACCACCGACACACTTCCCAGTGTCGCTCCAGGTCCTCTATACAGTTCACTGGCAGCAGGAAGGGCGGCTCTTAGTCCCAGACAACTCAGACTCCCATAATCTGCAGATCCCTTCAGCTAAATCTAAAACAGTCCTTCCTCTAGAATCAATATGTCGTCTATTTCTCGTGTTGAACGGTGTGCTGGTACGCACCATCAGTGTCGGCGCATGAGCATGATTATAGGTTAAAATAACAAATATACACAGCTATTACCGAAGAAAAAAAAAGAAAATATCTGCCTGCATTGGTAACTTCTGCGTGATTTACCAACTTTTTTATTGCATGCTATGACTTAAATCATAAATTGCAAATTTGAAAAACATAAACTAACATAAAAAAACATTTAATTTTTTTAGATCATACCTCTATTATTAAACTTCCAATATAATAAAATTGTTTTTAAAA